GGGGGGGGGGGGGGGGGGGGGACTACTGAAAAAGCAGCCACACTTCAACAATATTATATTATAAAGTAGGCCTACCTCGGAAGTATATTCACAGAGGATGGGCGACCGAACAGAGAAATTGAAACGAGAATACAAAATTAAAGGCCAATAATGTTAGTTACCAGCTTACTCCACTACTGAAACATCCTAACATCACGTCCATGACAGCAAAACGCAAAATGATCAACGCCATAAATATTCACCCCAACTTCACCCATCAGGGCCAAACATGGACTACGAACAAAACATTGGAATGGAGCAAAGAATTACAACATGTGAAATGTGATGTCTTAGAAAAGCTGTAAACAAGACACAGGCGAGACAATTAAATTAGAAACTCAGTATATCTTAATCTAGATCTAGAATCTAGACTCTAGTCAGAGAAATGGTGGGCACAAACGATGTCAAGCATTACATCCAACACCAATGAATCATTATTAATGGTTCGGACATCTCATGCGATTACCAAACACACCATCCAGCACAACGTGTCTATTTTTAAAAAAATCAATGGCAAATGGCAACAATTTAAGACTGTAATAGATCTAGAGGGCGACCGAGTAAGACCTGAGACTGGGATGGAGTCAGGAAACACTTTAATGGCATCCCCCTGACCCAAGCTCTCCGGCTGGTAGCAGAGAGTAGAGAAACGTCTCTTTCGGTCTTTCGTCCAGCGACACTCAAAAAGGTATTTAGAATCTAGATCTAGATCTAGATCTAGAATTTAGATATCTAGAATCTAGATCCAGATTAGCGATCTAGATCTAGATTCTATATCTAGATCTACATATCTAGATCAAGATTCTAGATCTAGATCATCTAGATCTACGGCACATACTAGAAAGTACCTAAAAGTAAAGTTTAGTAAGGAAATAACGACCATAAAATCCACCAAATTTTAATACATCCAGATCTGCTAGAGGCGCAGAGAGGTACATAGATCTAGATCTAGATTAGTGATTAGGCCTATCATAATCATACCTTTCACTTCTACTTCTTGATCAGCTGAAGCTTGGGCTGCCATAATTCCGAACAAAGATGATAGATTCTAGGGCAAAAAGCTATACCAAGATTAGATCTAGATCTATATCTAGATCTAGAATCTAGATCTAAATCTAGATCTATATCAAGATCTAGAACTAGAATGGCAATCGACACAATGATCGAATTTGCTCTGCACTAAGTGGAGAAGAGTGTGATGTAGTGATGGGTAAGTATCGATACTAGATACTTGATACTCAGATACCTATAGGTATTGGTATCCGTACCGATACCTGTTCTTAACATCGATACCTATGTGTTATTTATCCTAGGGCTGCCAAAGCAAGTGACTTGGTCATTGATCATTTTTTGTTTATCAAAACTGATAAGTTTTCGTAAGGGGGGGAGGGGGGGGGGGGGGCAAGCGTTTAAAATGAATCTAGTGATTTTTTAAGAAAAAGAGAGAAGTTTTTCATGAAATCTATCTGGTAATTTTGCAAAATTCTCACTGACAACCCTGATTTATCCTCATTGGTTTAATTTAAAGTTGCTAAAAATCTGGTAAATTGAATTGCCTTTTTAGAACTCTTGAGTTTTTATTTTCCAATACCAACATTTTCTGCAAAGTTGACTTTCCTCTCATACTTCACTTAGTTTTTGTTTTTATTCTCATATTTGGGTATTTATTTATCTCTCTCTCTTTTACAAATAATTTTTGTTTGATTCTCAGCTAAATAGTCTCAACTTGTCTAGACACGATTACCTAAATACTTGGAAAAGTATAGTTGTATATTTGTCTTTACTTATTACCCCCGGCGTATGTTACTAATAGCATTAGGTATCGAGGTATCGGTATTGATACCTTGAAAAAGTACTAGGTATATACATCGATACCTAAATTGTGGTATCGGCCCATCACTAAAACAGGCTTTCGTTTCGTCTGATTTTTCCAAGATGCTTTTGTGTTGGCTGTGGATTGTATGTACATTATGTAGTTTTTGGTGATGAGTTGAGTTGTGACGAAAAATGGTCTTTTCTGTTTTGGCTTAAGGGGATTGTAGGTCAGAAGGGTTGCGCGGTTCAATTTGCTGACTTTCTCGATAATGGGTATTATACAATTTTTACGGCACCCACTGTGAAGAACGTTGGCTGTGAATTCCTCTATCCGTTGTTTAAAAGAATTTTCGCGGGAGTGCGGCGTAGTCTAAGGGCACCACTATAATACAGTGAAATCCTGTTATAACGAGAGGGAGGGGACCGGAGCAAAATGTCCGTTATAGCAGGATTCTCGCGATAAGGGATCCAGTAATAAATTCAAGGGAAACTGTAAAGTAAGCCTAATCTATGAGTTTGATGTCCTGTTTATTTCCTTTTGCTATCTCCCCTGATGATGATTTTGTTTCAGCATGACCTCTAGGTCTTACTTGATCAAAAATCGAATCAGGCTTCTTTCTCTAGCGCTAGATCTAGCGATATGGAATGACAGCTCGGAGTTGGCGATCAGAAAGAAAGGATCTGGGCTAACTCACCCG